TAATCTTACCCATCTTTGCCAGACGGGAACCATCACTTGGGTCGTGGCAAGGATGGCAGCGACCTTCCTGAAGCCGCAAAAATCCGCGGTGCAACAGACAGGATGATATGGCGCGCGCGCAACAGAAAGCCCGGCAATAAAATCAAACTCGGGAGGTCCCGACGCTTTTAAATTATCAGAATCGCCGGTCCATTTTACACCGCTGTGACCCGCACAAGGATCCTCGTGCTCAGTGAAAGAAGGTGCACCGCTTTCCTCCTCTCTCGCATGTTGCTCTTCTCGCAGCCGTCGCGTAACAACACCATTAAATGTGCATGGCGAGATACGCGTCCATTGTCGGGTCAAGTGCGCCGATAGCTAATTGAAAGCGGAATGTTCACGAGGCTAATTTCGCTGACGTTAATACGTCCGTGGCGCGCCAGGCCGAAATAATTCTCGGCACGTCGCCTTAAATATCCTAAAACACGTTCCTGCTTATCTTGACTCGTGAATGTTACTGGGATTTTAGGAGGCTTCATGGGCGTCGTTTCCCAAAAGTTCTACCGAAGTTCGAATCTTCGTTACTTTTATCCGTTTTTAACATTTACATTTTACCCGTGTAACGAAATATCTGGCTCTCAACATAGCGTCCTTAATACTCTTAGATTTTACACCAATAAAGAAATATTGTTGTTATTATTATTATTAATATCATCATCGTCGATATGTTGGTTACACAAAACGTATATTAATATTTTTTTTATTTTAGGTACATCGAATTAAACTCATTTTTCAGTATAAGACGAACTTAAATATTAAATGTAAGATTTAATTATGAATGCCTAAGAAGTTTTTATTAGCGTTCCTACGATGCCCTTAAAGAGCCAGGAGTTAATATCAGGAGATATTAGATTGTTCGATAAAATTCTGTGACATTTCCTCTCTCCCTCTCTCTTGAGAAAGAAGAGCGTTTCTACTTTTCACTAACACTTTCCACTCTCTGCGCGGTAAGATACGAAACGACGCATCCCTTTGCGGCGCCCATGGCTCTGCTCCTCCCCTGCTTCATCCTTTCTCTCGGTGTGCGCGGTGCATGTCGCCGGGCAATCGCGTAATAAGGGATAAATTAGGCGTTTATGTCCGCGCGTCCCGGCGGTCGCTATCTCCGGGATGCGCGGGCTCTCGTCGGCACGTGAGAAGCACGCACAACTAATTGCCGCTGGAACGACCGTCGAACTCGCTTTAAAACGCTCACAATGTTGCGACTTCTTACGACCGCGAAGTATCGAAGGGACCCACCGCTGCCGCTCGCCGTGTCTCACGGCGCTCGCGAAACGTCCTTTCGCACGTCGCCTCGGATTTTTCCCCCCTTCTCGCTTTGTCGGCGCACCGTCGGACACGTCGGAGATCAATTTTTAACGTCAATCGTGTCCCCCCCCCCCCTTTTTCCTTCACCGTTTGAAATGTCACGAATGCCACCGGCGGCGGCGTGCCACCGCATCGTTTCCGCAGCTGAGACCGCGCGTTCCAGCGCGCGGAGAGGAACCGATCGCTCGGGTTCGCACGATCGGAGTCACGTAGCCTCCATCGATGATGACTATAATCAGGACATATGAATATAAATTGCCTCGACGTACGTTTCAGACACACAGGTACCATTGAGTGGCGAGGAAAAACTCGCTGAAATTGCTTCAAGGTCCGATGCGTAAATAGTCACGGAATTCGCCGACCGCTGCGTGGCTGCCGCAAGAATGTAGACGGATGTAATGAAACCTCGTTTTTTTCCGGTTAAGCCATATATAAAGAAAGGGTGGAGGAAGGAAGGTAAAATGACGACCTTTAGGTCGGTCGATTTTTATTCATTTTCGTACTTACATAAAAATAATGATAAATTTTGTTCTCGAACTAAAACCTTGACTATCATCTGAATAATGTGAACAATTTGTAAATTAATTAGAATTCTCTTTTTGATTTAAATTTTCTGAGAACGTGTTAATTTCGTCATCTTGCCTCCATATATAGGTAAGGTATGACGAGGTTTAAAAATAGATCTTTTTATACATATAAAAAATAACTTTCACAAACTCTTTATATTATTTTATTATTACCTGTTGTCTATTGTTATTGTTTACAATACAATATACTGAAATATAAATAAAATGGAACACAAATATTATTTATAGACAAAAAATATGATTTGTATTAAAAAAATAAAATCCAGACAAGAACAAAAATAAGAGCAATTAAATATTTATAAATACATAATTTCTTTGAAATGTATGTACGAATGCGTCATCACCCACACATGATGTATCATCTCCCGGTGTTCGCTATATTTATTTGTCCAATTAAAAAAATACTGCAATTTGAGAAATGACAAATAATAATACATTATTACATACGTTGTATACGATGTATCATCTCCCGGTGTTCACTATATTTATTTGTCCAATTAAAAAAATACTGCAATTTGAGAAATGACAAATAATAATACATTATTACATACGTTTCTGGATATACAATAGTTTTATAAAGAAAGTGAAAATATTGACTATAATTGTGTAAAATTCTCTATGAAGAAACTTGACAAAGTTACACGTGGATGTATCCAAAACACGCTTCTCATTGTATTATCTACTGTCGTTGATGATATAATTGAGAAAGAGAGAGAGAGAGAGAGAGAGAGAAGTTAAACTACAATTAAATTACTTATTATTATTAAAAGCCTCTAACGAGTTGGGTACTGATTTGTCAATAACTTAGAAAAATTAACAAGTTATTATTTTATCTCCACTTCACCGCCTCACTCCCCTTTTTCTTATATATTAACTGGATCCCCGAAGCCAGAAACGTCGAAGCCAGAAACACCGCTGTTTTTAAGCCGAAGTTTTCACGTGGCGAGCGTACACATGCGCAGCCTCACCGCTTCGATCGTCGTATCCTAGTGACGCTCCCCATTGTTTGCAAATGCGAGGCGCGTAATGGTTCCGGCATTATTGGATATAGGGTCGCTGCGTTTGGACGCGATAACCTCGCCCACCTTATTGAAGAAAGAGAGAGAGGAACCGATAGACCGTCCGCGCTTGCTCATAAATGTCGTATTCGTGACGCTGGCTCCTTTACCTGCGCGATTTGTCAAGGTCGCAGTTACAAGGAACTCGAGCATCCGAGAGGTATCTTATTACACTCGCGATGGCCGTGTATCTTATTATACGTGTACAGCAGCCGCGGCGGGCGATCGATTGGGAATCGATTAAGAACGCGATCGATAAGCTTAGCGGCGAAAAATCCGAGAGCGGACGATAACTATCTGCCTTCTTTGGGCAACGCGTAATTCATCCGCGCGGCCGAGAGTCACGGGACGTTGCAGATAAGTGCGCTGCCCCGCTGATTCTGACTCCGTCAGAAGCCCCGACGGAGCTTTAAATGGCGTTACAAGTGGCGAATTTTGAGATCTTGTTAATTGCGATCCCGAATGGATCGACCGGTCGAATCTTCGCTTGTCGTTTTCGATCGGTTTCTGCGCAGCCGAGCACATCGTGCTGCCGTTCAAGTAGGAAACAATTGCTGGCTTTTCAGCGAACGATACTAGATGCTGATATCGATTTGATACTATTGGAATCAAGCAACAGACTCTAAAGACAGTGTTGTAATCGTACCGATTCCTAGTATTGCAAAATGAGCAAACGTTATCGATTCCCGATACTAGGAGAGTACATTACAATTCTTATACGGGTGAGGACGCCGCAACGAGGCGACAGGAAGTAACACGAGCCGCAAGCGAAATTCACGGCGAGTCCGCGCAAAAAATGTCCGTGATTTTCATCGGGATAACGGCCGGCGCACATGTCTTTCGAGGATTTTACGAGCGACGGGGATTTAAAAAATCGCTCGATGCACCTGCCCGGCCGCCTCTGTCCTTCGTGTATCTGAAACGCGAAGCACATAAAAGCGGTTTATCGCCCCTCAGTGCGGATTCGCGAGGAGAACCGACACGACCGCCGCTCGCGTTTTGTTCCTGCTTTCTCGGCGGAGGGGGATAAAGTACTACTCCGCAAGCTTGTTCCGCGCGCGTTTAACGACGGTGCAAAAGGTGCGAAACTAAAGTGCGACATCCTATAAACGGCCGGTCGGGGCCGGTCCTTCGCTTGAACATTATGGCAACACGGCCGTCGATATGACTTCATTTGCACGCTATTATTTATTCGTTTCGCGGGTTAGTGTGAATTGAGCACTTAGTAAGTTTCCCCTCCTCATTATTGCAGTCATTGTACGACCGAAAGTTTAATTTATAGAAACTTATCACGTGTCAAGTGAGTTTTACTTTATTTCAAGCGTGTAACGCACTCACGAAATTTCTTTGGGTAAAAATTCATTCGAAAAGTAGAGCGACAGCCGAGTAATTTGAATTCTAATGCTTTCTCGCTCATGTAAATTAAATTCTCCTCTTTGAATTATTGAGTAAATATTTTCAAAATTGAAGAATGAATGAAGAATGAATCTTGTCGGCATATTCAATTTCCATTAGGGAATACTCACTCGTATATGGATGAAATATCCACTCTAAATTTAAGTGAAACATTAACTTTCGTAATCTCGAGTGAATTTTCATTGTTCTAAGTAAGATTTTATTTCAAGAAATTTAAAGAATATTATGACAAATATTTGTTCTGCCGATCACATTCCTAATATGAAGCGTTTATTAATTTGATTCGACTATGAAAATCTCAAGTCTAAAATCGTCAATTGTTAATTGTCTGAATCATTAACCGTTGGAAAATTGGATCCAGTCTGATTTCCCGAAATAATTATGGATACTAATCAGGAAATCCACACAAGTTCTGGTTTTGGTTAAAAGTGTAATGATTCTATGTGAAAAACGTGGACGGATCCTATTTGGTCACTGCCAACGTTTTCCCAAAGATTGTTTCTGATTTCCACTGTGACCGAGCAAAATGCATGAAAAGCTTTTCCATTCTATATTTAGAATCAAATACTATGGCGTCCGGTGTGGTTTTCAGGTACTGCTTCAGGCGGCACTGGTGTGGGAGGAAGCTCGCGGCGCTCCACCGAGGAAGAGCGACATCCTCGCGGGCACAGAATTCCTGTCGGTCTTCATAAACGGCGCGATGGCGCCGACACCGCAACGACGACGAGGGGGGGGAGGCTTCCGTCGCGGCGGTCAGGCCGCGTCGAGCAGCGACAGCGCGACCGCCGAATCGCACCAGCATGAAGCATCGATCTATCGGATATCCCGGAACCCGAACGTGCGCCCGGTGGTGTCGAGGCCGCCGAACGGCCGCGAGGAAGTCGTTCGCTTCTATCCGATAAGCCAGAGAACACTGGAGAACCGGCAGCAGAATCTGGCGTCGCTAATCGACGATCTGAGCACGCCGGGCGGCATAAGATCGACGCGTCTGACGCCGACGAGCGCGACGACGACGACGATGGCGAGCAGCCTGTCGCCGACCTTGAAGGACCCAACTACCTCGAACGGCACCGATGGATTCAAAGCCGGCGTCAGCCGGCAGAAGGTGATCGGTGTCAGCGTCACATCCACGGTCGAGGCCACGCCGTACAAAGTGCGCGTCGAGCACTACGACAGCGCCGACGCCGCGGTGGTGGTGACGCGTCCGCCGAGTTCGGAGCCTTCGGTGAACAGAGAGGCTGCCGACAGAGATCCGCCAGTAAGAAGCACGGTGAAGGGTGCTAAACTCCCGAGCACGACGACGGCAACGACGCCTTCACCGGCTAGATTTGTTACGGAGGAGCTCAGCAACATCGTCTCCGAGTCCAACAGAAGCGAGTTCTCCGTGGACGAGGAGTCACCGAGGATGAGCTGGCGCGGCCGCGTCACCATGACGCCGCAGATCCAACAGACGCCCGCGTTCCTGGAGGATCATCAGGACGAGGAGTTGAACGAGGCCACCCGCACCATCGACGACACCATCACTTTGCCGACGGAGGAGAACTACGAGCTTCCCGTGGAGAACTCGGAGCCCCGTGAGCTGAACGAAGAGCCGCCGGAGATGCCATCCGATCGGCTCCAGCCGCAAAACCGCAAGGCGGCTCGTCACTACGACGCGCCGATCTACAACCGGCCGGGCCCGAAAGTGTACAGCCAATCGTCGAAGGTGTACAAGCCCTCGCGAACGTACAGCGAGCCGGCCAAAGTGTACAGCGAACCCGAGCGAGTGTACGGAGAACCGGCCAAGGTCTACAGCGAGCCCGCCAAGGTCTACAGCGAGCCGGCTAAGGTCTACAGCGAGCCCGCCAAGGTTTACGGTGAGCCCGCCAAGGTCTACGGCGAACCGGAGAAGGTCTACTCCGAGCCGTCTAAGATCTACTCGGAGCCGGCGAAGGTGTACTCCGAGCCCGCCAAGATCTACTCGCAGCCAGCCAAAGTGTACGGGGAGCCCAGCAAGGTGTACGACTCCGAGGGCCAACCGATGGACCGCCAACAAGGTGGCGATGAGCCTGACGAGCAGAACTACGAGATCGACGAGTCGGTCAGCGTCGGCAGCAACGGCAACGTCCACGGCCCGGTCGTCACGGAGATCCCGTCTACATCCGAGACCGAGGACAGCCACAAGGTTGGCTACGTGGTCGAAGGCAGGAACTTCAGGAAATACCGGGTCGAGGAGAGGACGCCCGACGGCTTTATCGTGGGCGAGTACGGCGTCGTCAGTCACGACGACGGCTCGTTGCGCGGCGTCCGGTACACGGCGGACGGCACTATCGATCCGCAGCTCATTTACGACGCCCTGAAGAAGTTCCTCTCTTTGTGAGAGCATCCTCGAGCCACAGGAGGAGCCCGAAGGAGGACGAGTCGTCGCGACCGGCCACGCGAAGATCACCCGAACGATTTTTGATGGACCGATTCTCTCTCTCCCTCGTCTGTGCGTCCTCCGCAACAATTCAGCTCTCTGTCCATCCTAGGAAGCCTAGGTACTCTGAAAAATGAATGTGGAAATTTGGTCTTGACAATGGACGATCAAACACGTTCTCGTTGAAGAAAACGAAAAAGTTCTAGATCTCATGAACCAAATTTGGTCCCTATGACCAGAAATTCTGTTGTCTTCAATCAGACATTGTTTGACTGGCCATCATCAGGCAGGTAAACTCATTCTTCAGTGTAGAACAGAAAGTCACGAGAAAGTGATCGAGTCCTGATCGAAAAGTGAGTTGTCGCAGTTGTTTTCCCGTTATTTCATCGTGATTTTTCTGTTCACTTGGAAGAGTTGTGCGTCGACCGGCAATCAAGAGCAATTCGCGAAATTGCCGCGAGTCCACATGTCACCTTCATCCGAGTTACCTTCTGGACGTACCTACGTAGACTGATCGAAGTTGGATGACCTCGGGCGTTTGTGCGACGAGGGAGGATGCCATTTCTTCGGGAGGAACCGATCACGAGGAGGCTGACGACGAGCCGGCAAGTCGCAAGCTTCTTCGTGACAGCGCAGCGACCACCGTCGATAAGACGAACACGACTGATTCTTTTGTTCTTGCCAACTCAACTGCCTCAACAATTAATTTTAAGGACGACATTTAGGATCTAAGGAAGTCCGCGTGTCCGAGCAAGGTGGTGACCCGTTCTCGATCCGCAGGACCGAAAGGTCGGCCGACGCACGAAAGTCGAACCGAGACGCTCGGTCATTGCGAAACTCTGACAGATGAAAGTTACTCTTTGGCCGGCGAAAGTACGAACTTTTGTGTGCACCAACTGCTCGATGGCCTTTGACGATTGTGGCAACCGATCGGAGCGGTTGTCGTGTATTTTTCTCTTATAGGCTGTACTCGCAAGACTCTCGGAACAAGAACGAAACTTTTGGCGTCCCGGTGCGTGAGAGATTGCACTCGGGTGACGACACGCTTAGACTCGGCTTAGACGATTTCCAGCTACGATGTTAGCAATGCCCCGAAACTTTTTACATCTCTTTTTGTATCTGCAGATTTCGTCCCACGCGAAGCCGTGAATGACGACACGTGCAGTATATTTATTTCGATATATACTTATTTACTGAAATCGTAAGATAAGTTTATATGATATCGTTTATAATTGTATACAGAGTACCATGGATGATGTAGGAATATATGGATGGAGTGTAATCCCAGAGGGGTAAAACCACAGAGAAAGGGGGACGAGATAAAAACTGCCTGGTTTTCATTGGTTTTTACTATGCGCAAGCGTACATAGTATCGCGTCCATGTAACGTCTGAGCACGTGGGAGCAGGTTAGCAAGTATTGTTTTATTGTTTATTGTTAATAAATCATTGGAGTAATTGCGCAATGTTATGTTCCTTTGTGCAAAAGCAGGTCGAACTGCCAAAATTGGAAAAAACACACGCAAAGTGAAAGAAAAATCACATTTCATAGGTAAGATAACCTTTTAATGATTATGAACTGTAAATGAAAAACAGGCTGTTTTTATATATTCTTCACAGTATTCCAAAGGATGATTTGTATAAAATCGCCTCCTACCCACTATGTTATTAATTTTTCACGTATTATTTTGAATTATATGTTCATGTTTTTATTACTTCGTTTATAATTAGCGGTACTGAGCATAACTCAACCAACCAAATCCAGGCACAGTTTTAGAGATACCTCGAATCGGCTCCTTGCCTATAAACTCAACTTATGCTCTATCCATATATTCTTACATCCATGGTTATATCAAATACCATACAAACTTAAAGAGCACTCATTCAATTCGAAACAGTTGTCTGTCTGTAAGTGTTTAAACTGTTATAAATAATAGCTCAATATTTTGGAGCATTTTTTAATAAAAAATAGAAAGTAAGAAAAAATAAGGAAAAATTGTTCAAATCGACATCTTTCGGCATTTATATGATGCGATCTAAAATTGATTGAATAGTTACACTATTGAATAGTTGCACAAGAAACGTACGAATGATCGTTCCTCATTTATTTTACACGTGTCCTTTTACACTATATTAATTCAACTCGAGTATTAACTTTCCTTTCGTATACTAGATTTTGTACCTTTATGGTTTCTTTATTATTTTCTATTTTTAATAGAAGGAAAAAATTATGCCATCATTTGTAAACTTTAATAAACTTTGTAAATAGATAACCGTCTCGAATTGGATCCATGTTTATAGAATATTTTCAATTTATATGCGAAACATGCTCCTTAAGTTTGTACAGTGTGTCATACGATACCCTGCGTATCACAATAACATGAGAATATGAATATGAGAAATTATGCAAACTTTTAAATTCCAACGCGCAGAAGTCGAAACGAAACGACGAAGCGTCTAATCCTGATGCAATCTCGGCGCGCTATCGTAAGATCGATTTCAAGCGCACGTATCGATGCGTGTCTTCGCAACTGAATATCTCAAATAACGAGAATCCCGTATGCCTCGGTGCATTCGTTCAGGATGTATCCACTGCCGGACCCTCGATCTCTGATCTCTGATCTTTGATCTCCGGTATGAAAATCTCGAACCGAATTGTTACGGAGACTCGAACCCGACAAAATATTTCGGCCGAGGCAACTGCGTACTCTTTAACGTGCCGAACACGTTTCGTAAAAGGACTCGTTTTACAACCCGAAAAAATATCCCATCACGTCCTTCCACAAAATAGATAATCTTCAATTGTCAATCTTTCCGAAACAGTAAAACGGAACGTCGAAGATTGTCGACCGAATGATGCAATGTGATCTCGTGTGAAATTCGAGAGCAAACTTTATATCTGTATATTAGAGAGATACTACTAGCGGTAACGAACCTATGTCGATAAGGGATTAATTTAATCGCCGAAGGGGATTTAATGAATCACTCTCGCGCTATTCCGTGAAAGTTAACGCTTGAAACACTTGGACTCATCGCGCTTTTAGCGCCTAGAAAGTCTTCAATTTAATTTTATATATATTTCTTATATAATTCTTTCATACAAAATCTTCCTTTTGTGTAAAAATTAGATATAATTTATTACTGAATAAAAGTACATTCCTACACGGAAAGTAAAATTAGTATCAATTCAAGAGTTATATGCTCACAGGGTGTTTCATAACATATAACCTTCTTATCAATACACTACCGAAATACATCAGCTCAGCTTATCTACCTTGTCTAGCTTGTGTTGTAAACCATAGATTTTAATTCTTTAACGGCTGAGTAATGTTTCGTAATAGTTTTGCAAATTAAATTAATGATGGATTGAATTTAGTAGACATCATGTGGAAAAAAAATGTTCACAAATTTTCCTCTCACCTAGAAATTCCGCCCAGAAGTTTCAGACGCCCTAAATAAGAGCGAGTTTATTTTCATATAAGATTATATATTCTCGCTTATACAGGATGTCCGATAATTATTTTCGAATCTTTCGCAGGGAAGGCGGATTAAATTGAGTAGGAAAGTCATGTACCATTTTGCAAAATTCGCAATATTTAATGAGGAATTAATTAAACTGTATGAGCTTAATTAATTCCTCATTGGTGAATTTTACAAAATGGTGTATGACTTTTCTATTCAATTTCGTTCTACCTGCACACCACGGATCCCAAGAATATTATCGGGCACCTTGTATATTAGAATGTTGAATTGATGCTGATTTATTTTCGCTTACATGTATAAAATGTATCGCAAATATATTTACACGCTATTTTATATTATTATCTAATCCATACTGACGACGACGACGTGGATAACGTTAGGATGATAAACCCAACTGTGCAAACCGAGAATTCCAGCGTTAACAGCCCCTGAAATGATTGACTGAAAGTCTCCTTCGTATGCTTTGATCGCGGTCACGCTTCTGCGGTGAAGAGGCAGAAGAGGAAGTCGCAGCCGCCAGGGCCTCGGGAGAGAACGCGGGCGGGCTCGGCCGCTCCATGAATCACCCCCGCGGGCCCCGCAGCTGCGATGGACGAGCCGACTTGTCGCGGCAGCGTGTTGGCGCGTCTCCTAGATCTAAGTTTCCTAGATCCTAAGGCTGTTCCGTGTCCAGGGCTAGCTGTCTCAATCAACGAGAAAGCTGCTCTCCGCGGCGATTATCTTATCTAGCGTTTAACTTCTTTTTAGCTCGTTCTCTCTCTCTTTCTTTCTTTCATTACCTCAGTCCTTTGAGATAGTTCCTCTCGCCACGCAATATCGAGCGAGCCATATTTACGTCTTAAGCCGCGAATACACGACGGTACACCGCGAGATTCGCGGGATGCGAGATGCATCGGCTGTTCCGGAACGGCGTCCGGATTCTCGCGAGAGAGAATTTTCCTCACTCCTGAAAGCTCCATGGCTCGTTCGACGAATCGACGAGGCTGTAGGTGACGACAACGGCGTCAGGTCCGCGAACACTCTGTATACGGACATCTATCGTGTATTGCTCATTGTTTGTAGACTGTAAGTAACGCCTCGATTATTTCTACTCTAGTAGCACACACACACGCGCGCGCCCGCACGCACATACACACATCTAAAGAGCGTTCAGTTTATTGCTGCGGACGCGGTATCTGTAAGAACTCTCTCGCGTGTAAGGCATGCATCTTAGAGTTAATATTTGCTATAAAAGATATTACGTGTAGCGCTGTGCAGCCACCGCCATTGTTCTCAAACAGCAACTTTGTAATAAATCCATTGCCATGAAGGTGACGCGCCGCTTATTTTATCACCGGACCGAGAAATGACCGGCCGCAAACGGATCGCGTTGCCGCTGCCGTGGAGAATTTATGGCCCCGTTATTGGCCGGAAGGTAAATCGATAACGCGTTTGTCACGGATATGAAGCGATCAGATCGCGAAAATAAGGGGGAGAGGGGAGGGAGAGGGTCATTGATACATGTGCGTACGAACTTAAGAAGGGTTCTTAGCGTCCATTTACATACATTTGCCGAGCGTAATGCCCGTTCTCTCGCGGAATAAGCGAAGAACCCGATTACCCCCGACGATGCCTCCCCTCCCCCTTGCACGGGATAATGCACGTCGGATTACGGGCGGAACCGAGCGCAGCTCGCGGCGAAACGGCGCGCAGCGACGCTTCCTCCTTCGGTCGGAACGACGATCAGGTGGGCCCGTCGAGGCAATTTTCGCGAGACTCCTGGCGTAACGTTGTACCGGGAAGCGACCGCCGGCAAGAAGATGTCCTTTGCTTTAGAGAGGCTGCTCCGAAACTCTCGGAGGGAGAGTAAAGTTCTGAATATAAATAAAAAAGCGCAAAGGAGGAAGTCAGTTTCATTTGGCAGTCGGGATCGCACGACTTAGGCATCAATTTCTTCAACACTGCGACTAAGGGCATATTATTTACCCGTAAGTATAATATTTATAGGTATGATATTTTTATTAGTATTTTTCTACTGTATCTGACTCAATAAATACTTTTTTGATGTGTCGAGTAGCTACAAGTGTAATGAGTAGCTACAAATTATGCGGAGAGTATTCTTTATTATTTAAAGTCAAAATTTAACTCTAATTTCCGTCACATAATAAAAAATCAAACAGGGATTTGATACAGCGATTAAACGCTCGCATGAATGGTATATGTTAATATCTCTTATCTAGACCTATCTAGACTTATCTAGATCTATATTTGTAAATCTATATTAACAGTTGTTGCATAAAACATGACAAAAGACATCGTCTTATAAGTTTTAATTTAGAGTCAGACCTGAGTTTTTCAGTTTAATCATATGATACATCTGGCATGATTATATTCGTAATCGTGATTCAACATGAAAACCTCATATATATTCAGGACCGAGTATCTCACTTGAGACAAGTTTCAAGCAACAACTGTTACGGACTCTCTACTTAGAATTCTAGCTAGAACTCTCTATCGGAGAGGTGATACGGTATCTTACGCCTGTGCTGCGCGAGGGAGCGACCGCGGCTAAATTAAAATGAGCGGCCCCTCGGACGCGACAACGTTCAATTAAGTCGATGGGAAATTGATAAAAATCCTCCCCTCGTGAACTCCATGACAGCCCCTTGTTTTCTTTTTGAGACCTAATAATCGCGCTAATGATACTTCCCGTTTTGCTTATAAATCACGAAATAATAACACTGTGATCAGTGTCGAAGCCGGACCAGAGGGCGGAACGATATTAATAGCCTGCAGGCGCGCTTCCAGTAGGAAATATACATCGGTTCAACGTCCTTCGTCGTCGTTATTTTTCGTCGCCGAACCTGCTCGCGAAGGGAAGAGGGAGAGGGAGAGAGAGAGAGAGGATGTGCGAGATTTCATCTTCGAACGGTCGTTTCACATCTCGAAGATTTCGTAATCCGGATTTGAAGGACGCTAAGCTTCGAGGAATGTAACTTTTTTCCTTCTGGAATATAGATCGATGGTCGCGATTAAATCGAACATTTTACGAACGTTCTCGAGCGAAGCGTATGAAAGATCAAGAGCTCTGGATATAACCGCGAATTTAATTTAGACGAGTCGTTCCTGACGAAGCTATAAATTCGACGAGCGTTGAAGCACGATCTAGTCCGCTCGTTTACAGCGAAATGTCTCTAAGCCGATCTTAATTCCGCTGAATATCGCCTCGAGGCGGAATCGAAGAGCTCGAATGCTTCGATGATTCGGACGGGATTGATAGCTGCGCGGCGACATTGACTGGTTCTTCATTATCCTGGCGCCAGAGAGAGGACTCGCGAGGTGCTCCGACGTTTTGTCACGGGAGCACTGAACGTCCTTGGGTGCCGGGCAATATTTCCTCTTCCAGCTATGTCCGTCCATGTCTCGATATCTCGACGCCTACGTTGGCGATCGTTAACAAGGCGCCGATGCTGATTGCCGGGATGTCTTCCCAATCTCAAGAGACATCCTGGATTCTACCGGAGGGGTTTAAGCGTCGGGTCGAGCGAAAAACAACACTATGTAACTTCGTGCTAAAAATATCATGAATCAAGGAGACGTTTTACGGACGGAAAAGATTTATGCGAATGTTGATATTCTTAAATTAAGATTCTCATGATGTTCAAAAATGAAGAAAGTCGTGCAGAAGGGAAAGGAAGAATGCGGTAATTTTTCGATTGGTTGTCGCAGCGGAGTATGCAACCAGGTTACCCACCTCACTTGAGTCAGGTGAGAGCCGGTAAGTTAGAGGGACGTCTTACCGCTGCACGGTCGGATTACCGATACGGTGCGCTGGCCTCGAGAGTAGAACGGCGTTCAAAGGACCAATCGTCGGGGGTTTCGACGGTGAATAAACACGGTCACGCGACTCCGCCACTCGATATATCGCTGGTCGGCCGTCGCGACCAGCCGCCTCCTTATTGTGCAAATAATTGAAACACTAATCCCCTTTGCTCCGCGCTGACAGTCAGGACGTGATCGGACGTGGCACGACGAGCCGCTATTTACGAGTGCGTGCTCGAGAGGGTGCGATCCCGGAACGGGATGAGCGTCGCAAAAGTGGAAGCGCAAACGCGTGCACCCACCGCGTCAAAGGGGCGCACGTGACTCCGATACACTTTCGCTTTAAACTGTCGCCGGCGAGATCCGCGTGTATTTGCTCGCAATGGAAACTTCGCGCGTCGCAATAACGAGGTTCGCACAAATAATGGCCCGAGAAGGGGGGTAAGGCCGGGTCAATAATACGCACCGCTCGAAAAAAGTTTCGTACATTAATACCGGGATATTTTATTAGAATATAGTGCGTATTTTTTATGGGACAAATAATTTGCGACAAATTATTTTTCGAAATACGAAAAATTATTATTATGTCATCAATAAAAATTACTTATTTATTAATAAACAATTTTGATAATTTTATGACACTGATGAGGCATCCGATTAGATAAGAAACTCGCGATAGTTGCCGTTAACTTTCTTTGTTTAGAATCAGTGATTCTAAAATTATAAGATCTAAGATTCTAAGATCCAAGTTTTAAAATTCTAAAATTAGTAGAAGAAAGGTGTCATACCGATATATTATTTTGTTCTTGGAGTCCTTTTTGAAGGAGTGAAATTAAAATTAACGTGCACGGATGAAAACCAGTAATAATTCCATACCAGAATATATAGTAATCTTATGAAAATTATTAGATATTTTCTTGCAAATCACTATTTTTAATATATTTAAGAACTGATGCTTCTAGAAACTAGACCACAAAAGTAATAAGTAAGTAAATATTACTTGAATGTAGCACTTTTTTTATTTCAGTGTATTACATTCGAGTGATATTTATTTAATTTAAATGTAATAATTGCTCCAATATTCTTTAACAAATATTTAATTAAATTTAGCATTTTTTTTCAGTGCACGATATTTACGGGAAATTATGAAAAATATAAATGAAAGTACTAGTTACATTATTTTGCACATTTATTGTATATTTTTACATGTTATCTTTAATGTTACATATTTTTTAAAACTTTAAAAGTTTTACGATGTATATTTCTCCTCTATTATGTAAAAAGGAATCCTTTGATTTATTTTATTCGACCTTTTTATACAAACAAGGAGAACAGGGGGAAATCAGTTACCAGTAACTTTAATTGTATTCTGTGAAATGATATTTTACAGCAAAGTTCAGGTATGTCCGTTGAAAGACCAGTAAACTCAAGTACGTCGGTTTATACAACAACTCTAACATTTCTTGTGTTCAATTACCCAAGATAGAGATTGCCACAAGATCCAAAATGATTTAAACAGTTCAATACTCACACTATAAAATAGTATTGCAAAATAAATTACTTATTGCTGATTTTTATTTCTTTAATTTTTACAAGAAGATAGTTCGACAAAAACTTCAGTATGATGAAAAATCAAAGGACGTTAATAACACAACCAAACGCGACTGTAAACAGAAATTGCTATTTCCGATTGAACTACTATAGACGAAATTCATGTTTCGTCCGACAAAATTTCGTACTTAACAACCAAAAAACTTAGGTATGTCGGTTTACCACACTTATGTCAGTTTTGGTGCTTTCCTTCTGTCACATTCTCCCAGAGCTCGCGGATCATTAATTTTTGACATTTCACGATTTCCCGTGGATCAAAGGATTTAACGGTTGACAGAAACCGAGCAGCCCTGCGCATGTATCACGTTCATAACTCGAGCCATCGATCGGCGTGATTCTCAGCCGCGAACAATCGCGGAGCAGGGCGAGCGCGGAGGAAGGATCTCGGGCGCTCTGAATGACCACCTACGGAGGATAACGAGGAGGGAATTAGTGGTGCGTGAAGGTAAGAAGAGGCTGTACCACCTGTACCACGCGCTACCCTCCTGGGGGGAACAACAGGGGATGAGGGAGGATCCACTCGTCGGCGAGATAAAGAGGGAGAGAAAGGAAGCTCCTCGGATACCCATCGTCCTTCGCGACTCCTCCCACGCCCTTATTCCTTGAGAGAGGGATCCGCTGCTCGCAACGGGGCACAAAGCTGCCTCGGCGAAGGCATTCAGCCAACGTAGATCCTCGATAAAACATTGAATGCTGCGTCCATTCAAAACTTATTCGTCCTCTCTCCCCTCTGCCGCAGGAACGGTCGTTCCTGTCCTCCTTCTGCGAACTCCTTAGTACGCACGCCCACAAACCGAACTGGAAATGTCGCATCTCGATCCGGAGGATCTCCGATCTGACGGTCGTGCGCATCTAGCTTAGGACGATCCAACGGCCGC